ATATATATATATATATATATATATATATATATATATATATATATATATATATATATATATATATGTGTGTGTGTGTGTGTGTGTGTGTGTATGTACATAAATTTATATATAGGGAGATTAAAGAGAACATTTTGTTTTAACATAAAAAAAAATAAAAATTATATATAATTTTTTTATTTGTAAATCAATGAATCAACAGTTGCTTAATATATTAATAATGCCATTTTAATTTATTAATTTTTATTATGTAATTATTTATTTATTTATGTTTATTATTGGACCAAACATAGGTAATAACCGTATCTCAAAATAAAGATTTTAAGAACCAACAATTAGAAAAAGAAGGATTTTATTGATAAATAGTATTACCAGTCATTTATTTTATTTTATTCTACACTTGTTTTCTTTTTTTTTTGTCTTAAATCACTGTTTTATTGTTTCTTATGCACTTTATTTTTAATGTCATGTTATCACTTAAAGTTTGACTTGTTCAGCTCAGAAAGAAGGAAATAAGCAACAAACTGTGGCTGTTTATGCTTTTTCACTCCACTGAGTCTAACAAATAATAGACAAAACTGTCAAATTCAACATATTTTCTTTTCATCAATAACATAACAGGAGAGGTCACATGAATAATGTTTCTGATATTTAGGTTGTTCACTCCCAGCTCAGCCAAACAGAGCTCAGTGTTTAATGGTTTTGACGTTGTTGAATTAAAAATGTGCTTTGGAAACATTCTTTGATGAATAAAAATGTTAAGCGTTTTCTCCACTTATAGTTTGTTTAAATTATTGTTCATATGTGACAGAACTGTTCAAGGATAATGGTCTGTCTTTTCCCTTGCTGAGCTAGAAAGGTCAAAACTGTTTTTTTGCTTGTTTTCTGCTGATCATCCCTGCCAAAGGGTAACTGTCATAAAAAAAAAAAAAAAACACTTCTCTGGTCTCCCTTCATCACTCATGCAGAGGTCAGTGTGTGGACTGACTGAATAACTGCCTTCTATGACTAGTACAAAAAGGGAAATAAAGTTTGAACTTTCAAAACAGATCATGTTTGAAATTATATTTGTTTTTTTAATCCAATCTTTACTGATTCTGCATATTTTGGATGTCATGTAAAGACAAACAAAACACAGGATTTTTATTTTTTTTGTTAAACAAGAATAATGAGTTGTTCCAGATAACATGAAAGCACCGAAGGACTGTTTGTTCCAAAGTGTGCCTCCGTGTGCTACATTGAACTGACAGCAAAGATATCCTGGGTGGCTCTTTAACCTTCTTTCAGCTGCGGCTGCTCACTAACCATTAATGCATTCTGCTGTCTAACAATGCTGAAGCATGAAAGGTTCACAAACAGAAAAAAGACATTTCAAATTTAATAAAAAATGCAGATTGAATTTAAACAGCAAAAACTCTCAGGTGAATAAATCATTAGTTTCACACATAATCGTTGCAATTTAGTAAAAAAGCTCAATTGAAATGTTCTTCTTACATCTAGAAGTTTTCATTTCGGGCTGTTTTAACTGGCTATCAGCGCAAAATGTTCTTATTTATTTGTTTTTTGATGTGGAAAAGTTGAGAAAAAGGGAAAAGTATTAAAGGATTTTTTGTTATACCAGCTCACATTGCATGTTTATGATATGAAATTCAGACTCAGGTCCCAGATTGAAGCCTAACAAATAAATGGTCGCCGGTGCCCATGTCCAGTAATCACTGTGCGAGGGGCGGGGTACACCCTGGACGGGTCGCAAGTCCATCACAGGGACACATAGAGACAAACGAGACAAACAACCATTCACTCTCTCACTCACACGACAATTTAGAGTTACCAATCAGATTAAAATGCATGTTTTTTGGAGGGGTCTGTGGGAGGAAAACCGGAGTAGCCTTATTTGTTTTATGTGCATTTTTTTTTACATATTTAGAAAAGTATAATATTTAATCTCACAATCATAATTTGCGAGTCTATGTGCATTCAAGTTTGTTAAAACGTTAAACCTTATGAAAACCTATTAAACTCTTTAAGGTTTTGCATCGTACCTTTTTCCATTTCCACTCCAAAATAAGATAACTCTCAAACATATATATTTTTTTCTTTTTATAAACGAATAATTTGATTTTGTACGCTGCTTGTGAGATTTTATACATCAGCGCCTACTCCTTGAATAAAACTCTATTGACTTGCCTGTGGAAGATTGGCCTACTTTTTTTAAAGGTCTCGGCTGCTGTAAGGCTTCTTGTGCCTGATCCATGCAGACCAGTAGGGGCAAATTTGCCAAACTCTGTGCTCTTTGCCATCAATCAACTGTGCCTGAATGCACTTAAACCAGTGGCAAAGTGAGAGCCTTTGTTTATAGAGCATTGGTTTTAGCTGGACAGTCTTGCATTGATTTATAAAATATAGATACGTGCAGCCTCCTGCTTTGTTCCAGCATGGCTGTCGTTTTGTTAACGTCTCGTTGGATCGAAGCGTCATCCTGTTTGGGAACTTATTGATAATCACAGCTTCTTCATATGTTCTGTAACAGCTGGTAAATTATATTTTTCCTTTAGCAGAGAATGCATTTACAGTCGTGACAATTTCCTAGAAATATGAAATGGCTCACTTTAATTTTGCGTTTTCAAATTTTGTTTTTTATGACTGCTTAAAGTCAGACTGTGTGAGCTGCTCTCCTCTGCCCCCCAGTCAACAGCTGCCCCCCCCCCCCCCAAAACAAACAAGACTTACCGGACTTTTTGAATGGACACACTCTTCACATGTTTTGCCTTGTCATTATTCTCACATCAGATTTCATCCTTTTCCACACATATGAGCTGGGTTTGTATTGTCATGTAATCTCTGCAAACTATTTCATTAATTAAATAATAATAAAAAATAAAAAAAACACTTTAATGACTTTAAA